CCTTCACTGTTATTAAGAATTTCACCCAGGCACAGTGGAGACCAGTTTAAAGGGATGGTGAGTGACACCACAAGGAGACATGCCACTTCAGAGTACAGGCCCGGGTGGCTTCACCTGTCACTCTTCAAAGTCGGGGCTATCAGCAGCAAGGATGGACTTCTGCCTCAGGGATCTCACTTCTCCACATCCACCTGGGTTGGTTTCTGGGGCAAAAGCACTCACACTACTGAAATGAAAATGATTAGTTGTTATTTTCATGTCTCTTCCTCCTACCATCCTCCTCTGCCTGCAAGTTTAAGTGTCTCAAGAGAAGGTAATTTGTGGGTCGCCCGGGTGGCTCAGTCAGTTAAGCGTTCGACTTCAGCTCAAGCCATGATCTTGCAGTCTGTGCTGACAGCTCAGAGCCTGGAGCCTGCTTCAGATTCTGTGTCTCCCTTTCTCTCTGCCCCTCCCCCACTCACACTCTTTCTCTCTCTCTCAAAAATATATATTTAAAAAATTTTTGAAAAGGTAATTTGCTTTTGCAAACGACTGCCAGTGGCCTATTCCCCTTTTTGGTACATAGCTCTTGTACACACCACAAAGCTTCTCAGAAGTCCTGTAGCTTTATAACCTGAGTATACAGGTATTGCTTTATTGATTGGCACAGAAGGAAGTGTGAGCTTATCTGTGTTTAATGTGCGTTTAGCAAACCAGACTATGGTCTGTGGCATCAGTGAAGGGAATAGATGTTCAACCAGACTCATTCTGGATCAAAGCAGCCTTTGCCCAGAGTAGTGGATGGATTCCATCTCTTATGTCACCTTCAGTCAGTCACCCGACGGCTGTATGAAGGATTCTGAGGCCACACATGGTGTCACACCAGAAAGTGCTGTGATCGGTTGACAGCGTCTGCCGTGCTCACAGGAACACGGTGTGACGATCCTTGGATTCTCTTTGACAACTCTTCCCTGAGTTGCCTCATGCTGTTGGCACATATAAGATCCACAGGACTAAGGGAATTTTATGTAAATCAAGTTTTACTTGTGTAATAGAAACAGAACCCTTTAGTTTTGCCAAAGGATGGAAGAATGGGAGGGGGGTAGGGAGCTTCATGGCTACAATCCAGAAACCTCGACCACAGTCACAGGATCTTATTGGTCAGAGTTCTTGTCAGTCAGTTTCTCTAGGCACAGCAACACGCCGAGAATGATGGTCATGAGTAACTCATATAGGATGTATACTCATCAGAGGAACTCAGACCCTACTTTTGGGATGACAGTATTCAGTTTCCCAGTGTGCCACAGATCTAGGGCAAGTTTATTAGTGCATTACATGCTCATAATGGACCTACAGCATTGGCCGTAAATGCCACACCACAGAACTGTATATAATAAAGGATGTTTTTTATTTTAACTCGAATGCTCGGAGGCTTGCCTTGTGACAAGGAGCCTGAAGTCATGTTGACTCCAGCTCACGAAGCATCACCTGACTCTTCCGTCGGGAAATGGTTAGTCTGACTGCCCCAAGTGGGAGTAAGAAAGCCACAAGTTCTTACAAAAACATTTTCGTTGCAATTAACTTTTAATGTCTTGAGCCTACATTTACTGATTTACTTTGGTCTCTTCATGTTTGTCAATGAAAGGAAGAAAGTAAGCAAGATCTGTGCAGAAACACTTCCTACTCAGAATTGCACATGTATGAAGTGGTGACAGAGCTGTCCCTTCTACAAAAGAGAATTGTTTCCTTCAAAATAATTTTGACAGAGTTTTGGTTTTTAGGATTCTAACCATTTAACAAATATCTGTTGGGCTCCTACAGTGTACCAGGCACTGCTCTGTAAACCAAAAACAAAACTAATCCCTGCCTTCAGGGAGCTCACTGTTTGTTTCCTTTCATTACTTCATGAGTTCTGTGTATGGTGTTAGTTGTTTATTACAGTGGTAATACCTTTTCTTAGTGGAATTTGGAAGATTAGTTTTTTCTTTTTCAGTTAGATGTAGAGTCCTGCTTTCGTGGGGGTTCCGATGTAGCATTTTGTTTTGTTGCACTTGGAAGAGTAGTTTGTAATGGGAGTTCTCACTGGCTGTGGATTCTTTTCTCTATCCCTAGAAATAAGCTTCTAGAGAAGAATCAGCTTTTTTAAATGGCCTCCTTCTACCTAGAATGCCTGTTCTCCTAAGGAAGACATTCTGGATAGTGTGCTGATCATGCACACGTAAGGGAAACAGCTGTTACACTGTCTCAAAGATGTAGATACAAATTCTTTTCCTTCATAAGTCAGGATTTCTTGACCTTGATGCTATTAACATTTGATGCCAGTTAATTCTTTGTGATTGGAGGCTGTTCATTGTAGAATGTTTATCAGCAGCATTCTTGGCCTCTACCAGTTAGGTACCGGTAGTACCTCTTATCCCTGAGTTGTGACAACCAAAAATGTCTGCGGACATTGCCTCGTATGTCCCTTGGTGGGAGTGAGGGGAGCGGAGTCACCCCCAGCTGAGAATCACTGATGCAAATGATGTGCTTCTGTGACTGCGGTCTTACATCTTCTAATTATAGTAGGTCATTGAAATCCCTGAAAAAGGAGCCTGGAACAAGAGTTGTCTTCTGTCTGGCCTTTGAACTGTCTGCTATGAAAGAGTTAATATAAAGCTAGCAAGATATTTATCAATCTTATGAAACAATAGCAACAACAAATGATGAAATTCCTTCCATAAATCATGCCTCGGACAGCGTTTGCATTTCCTATTGGAAATTTGTTAAAATTGCATTCATCTACCATAAGTCAGAGAGCAGGTTGGACACAGTACACTGTAAGTTAATCTCAAATGATTTATGTGTAAATGTGTTCCAGATTTGGTGATCTCAGCTCAAGCAGTAGGTGGCTCATTTCCAGACATTTCCATTCTCAGGAACTGACACTGACTGAGTTCCATCAGTATTTATTGAAATGTGTAATGTGAGAGGATGTTAGAGCAGTCTGATTCTGGTTTCCTGACCCTGTTCTCCAGAAAAGCAGTACTGGGAACAGTGCCCCCCCCCCCCCGCCACCCGCCCCACTCCCCAGCAAGAGTCTCTATATCTGATGTGGCACTCCCCACTTTGGATTGCAAGATACTAAGAAAAACCATCTCTTTCACTCTCCTCCACTACTTCAAGTCCCTTCCATTCCTATACCAGCTTTGGCTTCCCCAGTGAACACATGTAATTACACATGATGTCATGTGTTTCTTTTTTTCTTAATTTTTAACATTTATTTATTTTTGAGAGACAGATCATGAGCAGGGGAGGGTCAGAGAGAGAGGGAGACACAGAATTGGAAACAGGCTCCAGGCTCTGAGCTGGCTGTCAGCACAGAGCCCGACGCGGGGCTCGTACCCACAAACCATAAGATCATGACCTGAGCCGAAGTCAGACACTTAACTGACTGAGCCACCCAGGTACCCATGTCATGTGTTTCTTATTTGAGTTTTTGGTTTCATATGTGCCACTTTTCAGAGTTGCGGCAGGGGCATCCATTGCATGTTCTACTTACCCCCATCAACTTGACAGGGTATTATAATCCAAAGTAGGACCATTCAACCAACTTAACCTTATATTTCTGAATCCTCTTTACTTCTCACACATACCAGTAGATTAAAAAATGCAGGGTCAACTGCTAGTATGAGAAAAGGGTTGGTCTTGATGCAGAGAAAAAACGTGAACGAGAAACATACTGGACTGGAGAATCTTCCCTCATCTGATTGCTGTTTATTGAACACCTACCATGTGCCAGGCACTGGCATGGTAGATATGACAAAAATGGACAGGGCCCTGCTTTCCTGGAACCCACAGTCCACTGGGTAGTGAGATAAGTGGACAGACCATGTTTCAATATGGTGCGAGAGGTGCCGTGATGGGGGAAATCAGGATGCCATGGGAGCACTTAGGAAGAGCATCACCCCAGCCGTGGAGGGTAGGTACGGGGGTCAGAGAGGGCTTTGCAGAGGAAGCAGTCTCACCTGGAGCATGAAGGATCTGTTGCACATCAGGAAAGAATGTTCAAGGCCATGTTCCAAGGCCTGAAGGGGAGCAGAAAAAATGGAACCTTTAAGGAACTGAGAAGGTTTGGCAGGTTTGAATAGTAAAGCATGAGACAGGGAGAGGAAGAAGGAAACAAATAAAGTTGCTTCTCAGGATTCTGACTCGAGCAAGTCAGTCACTGGTGGTGAGTTTCTGAGATGAGCACAGGAGAAGTAGGTTTGGAGGAGTGTGGGGTGACAAGAGTGTGAGTTTTTCATCCACCACTAGCTCTCAAACATGGGGTTGGTTTTTTTTTTTAATATTTGAAAGATGTCAAAAGCTAATGAAAATTGGAAAAGTTAATTAGCAGCTTTAAGTGATTTTGTTACTGTAGGCTATGATGACATCCGACAAGTATACTCGGACCTCTTGGTTTCTGCCAATTTTCTTTTTCATCCAGCAACTGTTTCATAATTTTGATACTTATCACTCTTCCTGCTTAAAATTTACCAGGTGCGTGCCTGAAGAATGGGTAGCTGTGAGAGAAGAGCTGTGTTAGGAGCTGTAGCCTGGCTTTTCCAGCACTCCCCCACCTCTTCCTTGATTTTTTTGGCATGATATAGGTTATCATTCTAATATTGCACAGACTCACTTTGTAGAGCATATGTGATTCTTTTAGGTGACTAAAGAAAAGCATAAGAAGTAGTATTCGACTATCTTCAGGCAGGTATGTAGTGTCACAGAATTTTAAGGGGTGTAGACCTCATTTGCGGAAATTGCTGCCTGGTGACTGCGCTGTACACGGATCCCATCGCCCAGAGCACATGGACAACAAACATGATTGTCAGGAGCACAGAGACGGCCTCTAACCATAAAGCCTAACTACTGCTTTTCCTCGTGTCCCTTGCAGGCCTGAAGTATCCAGGGCTGAGCCTTATCAGTGATTCCTCTTTAATCCAACCACCCAGCAACTAAGGAGCATCCAAGTTCACATGCCTCCTTCTTGTTTCTGGCAGGAATTTAGATAATGGGCTGTGTGCAATGTAAGGACAAAGAAGCAACGAAACTGACGGAGGAGAGGGACGGCAGCCTGAACCAGGGCTCCGGCTACCGCTATGGCACAGACCCCACCCCTCAGCACTACCCCAGCTTCGGTGTGACCTCCATCCCAAACTATAACAACTTCCATGCAGCCGGGGGCCAAGGACTCACTGTCTTTGGGGGCGTGAACTCTTCATCTCATACTGGGACCTTGCGGACCAGGGGAGGAACGGGTAAGAATCAAGCTGTTCTTAATTCTTTTGACAATTGAACGTTTGTGTTCCTGTCAGCTCCCTTTGACTAAGGACTTAACATTAAGTTTTTCATCAGTCTCCGCCCATCCACTGCCAAATGAGGGGCTAGAAAAGAGGGGGGAAAATGGAAAACAAGGCTTGTTGGTAAATGAAAATGCTGGCTACGGTGGTATGAGGTGACCCCAAGTTGCTGCTCTGTGCGATCCTGCATGGGTTGGGACGTAGCTTCTACCGAGGTACTCTACACCAACCGGTGGTCTTGAGCTTGGCTGGCGACTCTGAATGACTAGCAGCTTTTCAAAATACTGACTCCCATCCAAGATCTTTTGAACAGAAGCTCCAGGACTGGATCTGAGTGTGTATTTTGAGTTCTCCAGATATCAGTGCACTCCTTCCTCCCAAACCCCAGTTAGGAGCCACTTTGCAGGGGTAGAACCTTCTTCCTCATCTTCCTAATCGTCAGCCTGCCTGTCACCTCCTAGCCAGTGGGGACATTTGGCAGCAGTAGTTTCTGGCCGTTCATCTTCATTAATTCTCTTTCTGATCTTCCCGCCACCTTCCATATGACTGAGTTTACCAACCCTCAAGTGTATCATGTATCTTTTGTATTTTAAAATCAAATCTTGATGCAGCTGGGTGGCTCAGTTGAATGTCCAACTCTTGATTTGGGCTCAGGTCATGATCCCAGGATTGTGGTATCAAGCCCTGCATCAGGCTCCGTGCTTGAAATTCTCTCTCTCCCTCCCTACTCCCTCCCCTGTTTGCTCTCTCTCTCTCAAACTAAAAAAAAAAAAAAAAAAACACTTAATAAAACCTTATGTATCCTTAAGAGATCCTTTTAAAATTTTTTTAAGTTTCCTTCCCTTTCCCACCACAAGGCTCTGTTTTACTGCCGTGTACATTTGCTGACTTAGCTAATACTTTTAAAAATGTCTGGCATACATTCTCAGACATATGTTTTGCAAAATATTTATAAGTTATCTCATGCATCCTTAGCCTTCCAAATCTTCTCCCAGCATGTGAATCATGGTAACTAGATATTAGACATTATTCTAAAGTCATTCTGTTGATTACAAAAGTTTAAAGAAATATACATCAACCATGAATTATCCCTTCCACTTCTCTGGGAAGCAGTGTCTTATATAAGGACCCACTGAGCCTTTTTACCTGGGGAGTCGGCACTACTGATGCATTAGCTGGGTTGTTGTTTATTTTTTTGTTTTTTTCCTCCTCTGCATGCAACAAGGCAGTGTGCTTATATCCAGGAGACCTGACCCAGAACTTTGGACATTATATCATGTTGTCATGGATCCAACTTTCTTTTAAAGGGAGGCCTTGCATGAGTGAATCAATGTTAGCATACTCACCCATCCTTCCTACCTTCCTGGAAGGCACCTGGAAAGAAGGGAGGAAGGAAAGAGGCATTCTATGGGAGTCTGTCTCTGAGGATGTTGGCGGGGGGGAAAAAAGAAGCGGGAGGGGGACCGAAAATGCACCAGCACACACTTCCTGTGCCTGCTGAGTTCTTTGCCAACCAGGCTGAGTTCTGCTGATGCAGACACTGACCTTGTTCATTCACTCATGAATGCTGGATACAAATCCTGTGTCAGCAGGTATCATTCATAAAGTCACTAGAGGGGATACCTGCCTTGAACATGGGAGTCTATAATGTAGTCAGGGACAATATATATAAGAGGCCACTTTATAAAATGTGAAGGTTAAAACATAGGACTCCCAAATGTTGGCAGATTTTTCTGCCCTGTCTTATTTTTTTTTTTTTAAGTTTATATTTATTTTGAGAGAAGGGAGGAGCAGAGAGAGGGAGAGACAGAATCCAAAGCAGGCTCCACACTATCAGCGAGGAGCCCAATGTGGGGCTCGAACTCCCGGACCATGAGATCATGACCTGAGCCAAAATCAACAGTCGGACACTCAACCCTCTGAGCCACCCCGGCGCCCCTCTGCCTTGTATTAGTTGGACTTCTTGCATGTGCATGTCTGTCTCTGCAGCGCTACTTTAAGTGCTTTCATGTCTGTGTGCCCCTGTGCCCTCCTTTGACTCTCTCCTCCACCCTTAGAGATAGAAACCTCAGTGAGAATTTGCTGGCTGATGCAGGAGGAGAGCAGGAGAATAGAAGTATCCGTCCTCACGTCTCCTGTGCCTTGTCTTCCACACAGTGGAGCTTGGGTTTGGTTTTAAATTATGTAACAAAAGGAATCTATTAACACAGTGTTCAGTGAGAATAGGCGTGACCTACAGGCTTCCACTTTTCTGTTCTAAGCCACTCTCTTTTCCAACCTTTCAGAGAAATCTAAAGTTGCCAAATGAGCCCTGCTGCTTTGCATGGTCAGGCCTTCTGAATACCAGTTCTCCTAGTGGGGAATCCCACTGGGGATGAGGTGGGAAGACAAGCCCCACATCCTTGTCTGGTTTTTGAGTAGTCCCCCAGGCACATCTGTTCCCTTGGAACGACTGACGCAGCAAAATGGCAGCTTGGTAAAGAGTGGCATCCATGTTGTGCATTCTTTAGACCATATCAGGCACTTTGAAGTGTGTGGACAGCAAAACAAGAGGCCACAGAGCAGAGACATGGGATGTGTTAGCTAACAATTGCCACATAACACATTACCACAAACTTAGCAGCTTTGAAACAATACATATTTATGATCTCACAGTCCCTGTGGGTCAGAAATCCAGGAGTGACTTAACTGGGTCCTCTATTTCAGAATCTCTCACCAGCTGCGATCAAGGTGTATTGGCTGGGCTTTAGTCATCTCACAGTCCAACTGAGAAGGATCTGCTGCCAAGCTCATGTGGTGTTGGCACAACTCAGTTCCTCATTGGCTGTTGGCCAGAAGCCACCCTCAGTCCTTTGTCATGTGTGCCTCTCCAACACGGCAGCTTGCTTCATCAGTGTTCAAGCCAAAATGGCAGGACAGAGAATCGCTAGGAAGACAGAAGTCCCTAATCACTTATGGGACATCCCATCACCTTTGCCATGTTCTGTTGGTTAGAAGCAAGTCACTCGGTTCGCCCACACTCCAGGGAGGGGGATTACGCAAGGGCATGAATACCAGGAGGCAGGACTCAGTGAGGGCTGTCTTAGAATTCTGCTTGCTATATGAAGGAAGTCTTAAGCCAAATAGGATGCTGGCCATTTCTTATTGTTGACAGCAGACTTCTGCAAAGCAGAAAAGGCCTCTGTAGGGGTCCACCAGATGAGAAAACATAGGGTGAGTTTGAGGAAGAGTAAGTACTATAGGTCAGTGCAAGGATAGGCAAATTTGTGGTAGAAGAGAGCGACTCCCCAGAGTAATAGCAGATACCAAGAGCAAGACATCCTCGAATTGGAGTGAACATTTATGGAGAGGCTTTTCTCAATCCCAGGCTGCAGAAGGAGTTTCCTATTGCATCCTGTGCAATTCGTATTGCATTGTATTACTGTTACGTTCTGGGAAAAGAGTGATCTGTTTTACCCAAAACCTAATATGGACTCCTGAGAGGAGGAGAATTTGTGTCAGATAAAAGGTGTCTATAATTGCCACAGACCTCTGCAAATCTGAACCATGCCATCACTGCTGCCCCTTAGCTGTGGACATGACATTAATATCTGTCTCCTCCCGAGAACTCATTCAGAGGTGCACAGAGAGAAGTGCACCTTCAACTCTAGGTTTTAGTCAGGTCAAATAATGCTTCCCCTACAAAGACCAACGCGTACATTCAGCCCCGCAGCTCTGGTTTCACACGTGAATTACATCGTCGCCTCATGTCATCGGTGCCGACTAGATGAAGGTTTTGAGAATGAGACTTTAGTCAAGATTTAATTTCTTGGAATTACTTTCCCCTTGTGTAATAACCTTTCCCCTTTTGATTTCGTGTTGTCAGGAGTGACCCTGTTTGTAGCCCTTTATGACTATGAAGCACGGACAGAAGACGACCTGAGTTTTCACAAAGGAGAAAAATTCCAAATATTGAACAGCTCGTAAGTTTGGAGAGGGAAGGGGAAGTACGCGTGTCTTTCAGACTGGGAGAGAATGCTTGTGCTGCCAGTCTGTGCCTTTTCAGCAACCGAAATGCTAACAGAGCACTTGGTAAATTCATTAACTTGTGGCAGTGTAACTTAAGAAATGAAGAGTAGATGAACCAGGACATTATTGTCTGGCACTGGGGCCCAGGGAGCTTTCTGGAGGATACCGTAGTAGCAGAGCTGCTGTTTGGGGTTTAAAGGTCGGCCAGGTCCCAGCGTTGCCTCTACAGGGCTGTGTCCTCACGTGATGGGCACAGAGCTTGGCTGGCCGTCCGCATTACCCTCTCTCTGCCTTGAGGTCAGTTCGGTGTTTTTGGTGGGGTTTTTTTTGTTGTTGTTGTTTTGGTTTTTTTGGTTTTGTTTTTTTCATCTTACGAGTTGTGCTAGCCGAGTCCTCACTCACGGCTGGCGACAAGTCCCTTCTGTTTTCAAAACTGTTAAATGTTCCGATTGGAGAAGCCTGTGGAGGCATCTCCCCATAGTGAGAATTTGTGAGTGACTGAAATCTTTGTGAGATGGGAAGGAGAAGCGATTTCGCCCACTCGTGAATGACTATAATGTGTGCATTTTAAATGTGACCAGTAGGAGTCATAGTTAAACAGGCAATGGGGAAATGTCAAGGGTAAGAATCACTCATTTTTCAAATTCTGCGTTTAATACTTCCATTAAGAAGAGTAAATATAGGTATATATGGCATCATATACAGGGAAACATATTTCCCTGTAGTTTTTTTTTTTTAATGTTTGTTTATTTTTGACAGAGAGAGACAGAGTGTGAGCAGGGATAGGGGTAGAGAGAGAAAGGGAGACAGAGAATCTGAAGCAGGCTCCAGGCACTTAGCTGTCAGCACAGAGCCCAACATGGGGCTCAAACCCACAAACCGTGAGATCATGACCTGAGCCGAAGTCGGACGCTTAACCAACTGAGCAACCCAGGCACCCTTTCCCTGTAGTTTTTAAATAATATTGCCTCTATTAGATTAAGGCAGTGTGCCTGCCAGAAAACTTCAGGCTTCAAAGAAATTGGTGGTGGAGGTGCCTAGCTGGCACAGTCATAGAGCATGCGATTCTTGATCTTGGGGTGGTGAGTTCGAGCCCCACATTAGGCATAGAATTTACTTAGAAAAATAAAGAAGGAGAAGAAAGAGAAAGAGAAGAAGGTAGTGTGCTGTTAGCAAGTCAGGCCTTCCTCACCCTACCTCAAGTTGTCCTTGTGAGTGCTCCCCAGTGATTGAGGAAGAACTCCACTCCAGGGATGAGAGCCCACCAGGACATTCTCCTTCCTGTGTTGCCAGGGCCACGTGCTCTGAGCTCTGTTCCCTGAGCAAACTGTGATGACAGAAGGATCCCGATGCTCTTTATCTTTCCTGAGAGTTCAAGTGAAAGGAGCGGGAGGTGGCCCAGTGCATCCATGTCCCAGAAAAGACAAGTAGTCACTGTAACAGGGAGCTCCCCCAGGCCTGAAAACTGCCCCCAACTCTCAGAATTCACCACCTTTCAGGGAAAGGAGCTGGACCCCTCCCACTGGAGGCCAGTAACTCTTCTGGACCTGAGAAGACAGTGTGTACATAGTAGCCACAGGTTGTTGGGGTTTCTTTTAATTATCATTATTATTGTCATCATTAATGGGTGTGGGTAGGTTTTTCTGTTTTTAACTACTTCAGTACATGCAGAAAATTCCACCTAGCAGAAGTGTGCATGGTGGGGGTCACACAACAATGTGGAGGTGTTTGGTGCTGCTCAACTTCACACTTAAAAATGGTTGAAATGGCAAATTTTGCTGTGCATGTTTTGCCACAGTGTTTTAAAAGCATACAGTTTGCTATGTTTTCACACACCGAGTGTGCTTATGCGGCCAGCGCCCAACTCAAGAATATGACCTGCCCCCTACCAGCCCCCCATCCTAGCCACAGGGATGTTTTTAAATAGCACACAGCTGCCACCTGTTGAAGGCTTCTGTGTGCCAGCCATGGGCAGTTGTCTGAGCTGTGTCTCACAGTCATCGTTTGACACATGAGGGGCTAGAGGCTCAAGTTCGGGAGCTGCCCAGGTGCACAGAGGAGCAAGCAGGTAGCAGAGCCCAAGGTGACATGTGGCCATGGCATCTTGAGTACAGTGTCCAGTTTGGTCTTGGAAAGGACACCCGTCAGGGGGAACTGAAGCTTTCAAGCCACATGAAGGTTTGGAAGGTTGGCTGGGAGGTTGGGGAGAGGAGAATTTGGGTTTGATCTCTTCTGATTTATAGGATTCCTTATCGTGGGTTTGATTCTCAGACGAACGCTTCTTGTCCGAGTCTACTTAGCGTGAATTCTGAAATTACCCACCGCTTCCCCTCCCCGTTCTGTGTAATGTTCCCTCAATCCCCAAGTTGGTTAGAACTTTTAACCAGCTTAGAAAAGGTGAGACTAAGGACTGGTTGGCAGCACCACACAGCTCTTCCTCTGCGGGCTTTCTCTGCACTGCAAGGAGATCTGTGCGTCCGATCGTGGGACACTTGCAAAGCCGGTCCTTGCCAAAGTCAAATTCGTGACTTCTTCCTTTGTCAGTCTGGATCTACAGTGGCATTTGATTGAAATTTTGAAGAAACATTCCAGGAAAATCCAATCTGTTTCAATCAGTATTTTATGATTTGCATGCATGGCCTTAAGTGTTTATGGGCTTCAAGCCTCTGGCCCTGTTCTCTTAGAAGAAAATATTACAAAGGTTTTTTTTCCCTTTAATGCTTCTTGCCAATGGAATTCCTCATCCTACATGCCATTTAAATGCCCTTTTCAAGGTTATGGGGGGAAAAAATAAGATTTTTGTAACAAATACAGTATCTTGAAGTCAAGGGCAATAACAGGGAAGAGGAAATCATGAAGGACAAACAAAGCAATAATACAGAACCAGATGGCCTGCGTCTCCTTCTCCCCCCCCCCCCCCCCCAGCCCCTGGCTCTCCTCTATTGAGAGGGGAGGGGGTGGCGCCCTGTTCTCCCTGGGGCAGCTGCCACACCTCCTAGCCTGTGTGTCCTCCACTCCTTCCCTGTCGGGAGGCAGCAAAGGACTGGTCTTTGTGTTTTAAAATTGCATGAACACGCATGTGCGTGTGCACAGAGCCGGTAGCCGTGTTGCCCAGCATGGGGGCCTCAAGTGCGTGCACGTGTGTGTGTGTGCACAGAGCCGGCAGTGCCACTGCCCAGCGTGGGGGCGAGGGTTCTTCACTGACCTGTTACGAGTGCTCAGTGTAGTGTATTTGGACATGGTTAAACTTGAACCCAGTTTGCAAAAGGTTTAAATTCATCTATTTTATTCCCCATTTTCACATTTCACGACAAGTGATTTACCAACTAGAAACAGTGACTCTTTAAAATATAATAAATATGTTTCACAGAGTGGAGTAGTGCCTAGGGTAGCGACTCCTTTAAAGTTCTTTTCATCTTGATAAGGAGAAATCCTGGTTTAGAGCCCTATCTGAGCATGTGATCAAATTGTTATGGACATGCTCTTTGACCGTAAGATGGCAGTAACCAAATTTAGAAAGAATGCAGCATTTATAATAAAAATGCTCCACAGCTCAACAGGTCTCACCTGACTTCTGTTTACAAACGCCACTTCCTGGCTGCATCAGGGCTCTGGTCTCCTGGGACCAGCAAACCTTGTGAGCAATTTTGGGGATTGACAACAGGCTCTGTTAATAAGTCTTCTTTTTTTTTTTTTTTAAATTGTTTTATTTATTTTTGAGAGAGAGAGACAGCATGAGCAGGGGAGGGTCAGAGGGAGAGGGAGACACAGAATCCGAAGACAGGCTCCAGTCTCTGAGCTGGCTGTCAGCACAGAGCCCAGTGCGGGACTCGAACCCACGAACCGCCAGATCAGGACTTGAGGCGAAGCCGGACGCTCAACTGACTGAGCCACCCAGACGCCCCTGTTAATAAGTCTTCAAATGAGAGTAATAGGGGAAGCTGCTATAAAAACTCAAAAGTTATTCTAGACCAGAGCCTGAATCAAAGCAAGGTTGGGAGAACTGGACAGCAACATGCAGAAGAATGAAACTAGATCATTTTCTCACACCATGCACAAAAATCAACTCAAAATGGATAAAGGACCTGAACGTGAGACAGGAAACTATCAACACCCTAGAGGAGAAAGCAGGAAACAACCTCCTTGACCTC